GCATCCGGTTCTTTAGAGATCAGCCAGTAATCAGTCTTAGATTGGTTTATTATTAGACTAAGGGTATTCTTTTTTAAATCAATGTATTTCCCTCCAGATGTCAGTCAAACTATGTCTTTGTCTGAAAACATTTAGATCATTGTGATGGGAGCTGTTATCTGGTCTTCGGACCACGGATCATCAAGTTCACTCAGGACCATAGTAAAGTCTACTTCAAAGATAATGTAACAGGTATTTTATCGTGACCTTTATCACATTCTGAGATGATAAACCTTCCATTAAAAAGGTTTTTTGAGAACAGACACACCAGCCTAGTGCTCCGACACATGGGACATCTGAACCTCCACAATTTAGGATCTTGTGAAGTGGAATGGGATTCTTAAAGAAAGCAAAAGTCTGTGCGCTGTTGTATAATGAAGCTCTAGCGAAAGTTCAATTGAAGAAACTCTGACTTACCTCCATCAATCAGAAGCCGATCCGTCTCTGAAGCGAGCCAATCAGCTTCGAACTACTCCACCACGAAGCCCAATCAGCGTCCTGCTTCCACTTTATAAACTCCCTCAAATCTCACCACAGCCGCTATCCTGCAATCGCAATGTTGGATTTCGATTCAGACGACAATTCACCCACCTCCATCCCCTTCTCCGCCATCGCAGCTGAATCATCCTCCATGACACGACTTCACCTCAACCTCATCAGAGTATTAATCCCAGTTGTCACCATCCCTCGTCTCATCGCATTGGTCCGGCAGAAGACCACCATGTTGAGCCCGGTTCTGCCAGAGGTTTCTTCCCAAAGGGGAGTTTTTCCTCTCCACTGTCGCTTCATGCTTGCTCATCATGGACACTTCACGGTACCTGCATCACCGAGCAGGACCTCTATATCCCGAGTCTGAGTGAAGCCCCGGCGTCAGCTCCCTCAGTCTTCTAGTCCCACAATTCTGCCCAGCAGATCACCTTGTCAACCAGCTCGGATTAAACCACCACCAGTTTCAGGCCTGGGGGGAACATCCCTATTCACATTCATCTACTCATGCATGTTAAAGCATAATTCAGCATGAATGTTCCTGCCGAGGTCTGAGTGCCAAAGACTATACTTTCTTATCAATAAATTCTTCTAATTATCTTTTCTCTCTGTGTGAGTTTTTCAGATTGAAATAATTTCTAAGACCTCTCACATCTGGAGAAATTATAAAGACAGGGAAAAAAAATTGTGATTTATCTGAAATTCTGTCCAATTAGGACTAAAATGTTTTTCCTTTGAAGCTCTGTTCTAAAAATATGAAACAAGGCTTTTCTAACTACATGCAAACCTCTTTTTGTTTAATGACACTATGATGTTTCCAGGAGAAAGATTTGAAGGCTGCAAAGAACTGAAACCTATATAAGTGCATTTTTTTCTTAAAATAAGTGCATTTTTTCTTGAATTGAGGAGGTAGGTGAGACACTTTGCCAATGGAACAAAACAGTTTACATTTAGAATAAGAAAAAAATACATTTGCATTATTTTATTCCAAGTGCAAATTATTTAATTATCTTATTTTAAAAGTAAAAATACTCATTCCATTGGCAAATCATCTTATTTAACCACAAAAATTAATGGTAAATCACACAATTTTTTTGCTCATTGCTAGATCTTTTTGCAGTGTATGATCAGATAGGGGTAAATGGGAGAATAAATGCATCCAGTTCTTTAGAGATCAGCCAGTAATCAATCTTAGATTAGTTTATTATTAGACTAAGGGTATTCTTTTTGAAATCAATGTATTTCCCTCCAGATGTCAGTCAAACTATGTCTTTCTCTGAAAACATTTAGATCATTGTGATGGGAGCTGTTATCTGGTCTTCGGACCACGGATCATCAAGTTCACTCAGGACCACAGTAAAGTCTACTTCAAAGATAATGTAAGAATCTAGATAGAAAAGTCATGTTTAAATTTTTTCCAAACAGGTATTTTATCGCGACCTTTATCACATTCTGAGATGATAAACTTCCCATTAAAAAGGTTTTTTGAGAACAGACACACCAGCCTAGTGCTCCGACACATGGGACATCTGAACCTCCAGAATTTAGGATCTTGTGAAGTGGAATGGGATTCTTAAAGAAAGCAAAAGTCTGTGCTCTGTTGTTTGCACAAAGTAATATGACTTTGAAGTTAAATAATTTCTAAGACCTCTCATATCTGGAGAAATTATAAAAACAGGGGGGAAAAAACTATTTATTTTAGGTAGAAACCTGAGCATAACAATAAAAAATTGTAATTTTACCAGCAGATTAAGAATATATCATTAATCAGAACTGGAAGTTATTGTTAATTAATATATTCAAAACAAGGCTAAAACCTAGAAATGATCATTAGGTAAATAATCATACCCGACAATTTGATCAACTACCAGGTGTTATTAATGGATTAGTAAATGTCAAGAAGTGAGATTTGCTGTCAGCTCTGGGTGCAGGAGAGCTTCACCCAGGGATCTTCTATCCTTTAGTATTGCAAAGGAGCTACTGCACATGAACAACTTTTAACGAGAGTCACTGGCCAAAGATTTTTGCACCCCAAAATATCCTAATTTTATTTATTATTATTTTTTGTCTTAATCAAGGTCATTGGGTGAGTGGGGCGGCACCCTCTATTGGCAAGCCACCCGTAATAATGAAAAGAAAAAATAAAGATAAAACCAACCAAGACATTTTTGTTTTCCATTAACTTTTCAACCTTTTTTTGAAGCATCTCTGAATGATTCAATGTTGACCTAAATGACTAATGACCGCCCCCTAAACTTTCAGCTCAAACAAGAAGATTGATCAGAGATGCAGCAAAGAGGCTCAGGATCACTCTGGATCAACTGCAGAGATCTACAGCTGAGGTGGGAGACTCTGTTCATAGGATAACAGTCAGTTGTGTTCTTCAAACTGTCAGGATTTGGTGTGGATTGAGGACCCAAATGCAGAGGCAAGTAGGCAGAGGTGAATTTAGGTAGGTTTAATGAGGTTTACAGGAACTGAGACAGGAATCAAAAATCCAACAGAAATAACAGACGAACCAGAACCAGGGAGACATCAGGGGAAACCAAACTCTAGGAGCCAGGGAGAGACGAGGTATGCACTCAGACGTTAGACGAGGATCCAGCAAACAGGAACTGAAGAGGGAGGCTTTTAAAGGGGACAGAGACAAAGAGAGGGCTAACGAGGGGATTGAAAACAGGTGAGGGCAGAGCAGAAAACAGAGCTAGGGAAAGAGGACACAAGAGGGCAGCAGAGGACAACAAATGGAAAACCAAGACTGTAACACAAACATCTTTATAAATATATTCATAAAAAATCTCATTTAAAGTAAGATGCTCTGGTCAGATACCAAATATCAAACTTTTGGCCACAAACACTGCAAAACTTTATGTTTGGCGTAAAAGCTGATCACCCTGAACACACCATCCCCATGGTCAAACATGGTGGCGGCAGTATCATGCTTTGGGCCTGCTTTCATTCAACAGGAACAGGGAAGATGATAAAACTGATTGGAAGATGGATAAAGGAGATTTATCTTCTAACAAGACAATGATCCAAAACATAAAGCGACATCTGCAGTTGAATGGTTCGCAAATCAAAATATAAATTTTTAGATTGGCCTAGTCAAAGTCCAGACCTGAATCTAATCAAGAATCTGTGGAAAAAACTAAAAACTGCAGTTGGCAAACTCTCCATCCAACCTCACTGAGCTCCAGCTGTTTTGCAGGAAGAATGGGGCAAAATATTTCAGTCTCTCGACGTGCAAAACTGATAGAGACAAACCTGAAGCATCCTACAGCTGAAATTGCCGATACAAGGCATAACTCAAGGGGGCTGAAGACTTTTGCACAGCTATTTTTTTTGTTCAAAAATATCCAATAAGTTTAGTTTCACTTCATCATTGTGCCCAACTTGTTGATTCTGTACAAAAGTTTTTATTTTATATCTTTATGTTTGAAGCCTGAAATGTGGCAAAAGGTTGAAAAGTTCAAGGTGATTAATACTTTCGAAAAGCACAGCATATATAAAAACACACAAACTTGTCTCATTATCTTTGGGGGCCTTTTTATTGACTTTCATTAATTTTTACATCCTAACCGCGACCCTTACCCTAAAAGTTACAGGTTCCTTCTTCGACACTAACCCAGACCTAAACTCAATTCACACCTTAGTCCCAAATGTGAGGTCCAGGCAGCGGGCCCAACAATGTATTAAAACCAGAGCACAAACACCCAGCTTTGTTTTTACTATATAGGGGGACAGTTAATTGACTTACCTTCATTTTATATGGCCTAACCCTTACCCTAACATTACCAACCTATACCTAACCCTACCCTAAACCGAATTCCCACCTTAGTCCTCAACCCCAACCCAAAGAAGAGAACTTTACTATATGGGGACCAGTGGAATGTCCCCATATGTACCTGTAAGTCCTCACATTCTGGGATATTTTAGAAAACACTCTCCAAACATTGCAAGTAAAACAAGACCACTACAAGATTGCGTGCATATAAAATTATGGATGAGTCAAAACTGTTAAAAAACAATTACAAATGATTTAATATTTTTAATATTACAAGATTTTAAAAAATGTATACATTTCCTTCAAACTGATACAATTCGTTCATTCATTTATTCAGACAATAAAAATGCAAAAAAAAAATGTTTTTTTTTTTTTACATTTTTGTAATTGGAAGCAAACTGCAACTGATTCACAGATAAAATAACAATAAACAGCACATAGGAACACATTGAAACCATAAGAAACTTACAGAGTTAGTTAAAACTAAAGTCCGGAGTTTTTCAAAGTCACAAGGCTTAGACACTTACCACTAAACGTCCAAAGACACAACATTGAAAACTAGAGCTAGATTCTAAACTGCACAGCAGAGCAAATATAAAATGGTGTAACTTTGTGATGTAAGCTGGTGGGGATGGTCTATATGGGAGGGTCCTGGGTCACTGAGGACCCAAAGGCTTTCATTAGTTTTTTTATATTTTGCTTAAATAGCTGAGAGGATCAGAATCCAGGGTGAAGTTTCCATATTCAGGAATGTTTCAGGTTTCACTTCATTTGCTGGTTTTGCTCCATTTGCTTTTCTGTAGTCCACAGTAAACCAGACTTTTACCGGGAAATTTTAGATCACTTCATGTTTCCTTCTGCTGAAAATTTTATTTTCCGGGAGATCTTGGTCCGCACTGTGAGAGGGACCAGAACCTGCTTCAATGACCATGGTGGTACCGGGCTGGTTTGGTCTGAACACTGTTGGGTTAGTCTGGTCCCTGGTTCTCAGTTGAGCTCAGTCCTCAGGAGACTCTGGGAATAAAACCATAAATCCTTCAAGGGTCTAAATATTCTCTCTAGACCAGGTTCTGTGGAACGGACCCCACAGTAAAACTGTAGGTGGTCTTGGCTTACCTCCTGGAGTTCATATGATTCATCTTTTCTTATTGAAAATCTTCTGTGTATTTTATATCCTTGGATGGCATCAAAAGTTAATCCATGATGCACCAAACATAAAAAGATTCAATGGTTAGAAAAATACATGTAACGTATACATTTGCAAATGTATATTTTACTAGATCAGGTAAGATGTTAAAAAGGTTATTATTAGTTTTCAAAGTGAAATCAAACTGTCAAATAATCACACACCTCTGATTAGCAGTAAACCAATTATAACTCCTAGGCCAAGAAAAGGGGCAGCCAAAGTATATCTGTGTCGTATTGATCCATTACTGCAGACAACGTCACTCGTTGAGCTTCCTTCTTGGACCTTAGTTTGGCTTTCAGAGCATCTGAAAAAGAAAAGAGAAAAAACATTTTAACCTTTTAATAAATTCATGCTCTGCCTTAAAGGAAGTCTGAGCTAAAAGAAGCTAACAGCCTGTTGCATAGAAACCAATTCTATTATGATCTTTATCCAACTGCAGCTGATGGTTATGAAGACAGTCTGACTGAGATCCCTGATGCAGAGACATGATCAGGAGCCTGAGGAGATCTACGCTGATCCCTCAGACTCCATCAGAGGATGCAGGAATCAGCAGGAAGCTTCTGTTATCTGAATTAATTACAGATTAGTTCCTGAAGTTCCTGAGTTTACATTTAAAATTAAATCAAAGATTCTAAGCATAAGATATTAATGTCTTCATTACAAATGTTAAAATTATCTAGTTAATAGATGGATATAAACTTTTGGAGAAAACCTGTCTGTGTTATCCACATGTCAACCACTGCCACATTCAGTCTCTGTTGATTTAACAACATGGCTGACCTGAGCCAGAGTCCAAAGAGGCCGTTTGCAGGGACTGATTTTTAAATAAGAAACTTTCAACTATAACAGTCAGCAAACATGCTGTGGTCAGCTCACACTGCAGGAGAGACGTTGCTTACAGTAAACATCTAAACCTCAGTGAGCAAAGTGTGACGGCCCATCACCTCACTGGAACTGGGGATTATAAATGATTTCCTTTAACCTTAATGAAACCAGAATGATGTCACTGCAGAGGTTTGTGCTCAACAGTTTCAAACAGTGGCAAACAACTGGGAAATCCTCTACAGGGACGGACAATGAACGCAACATGAAGCTGCTGCAATAGCAGCTCAGATATGATTCTGGGAGGAGAGGCCTTTACATCCTGCTTAGTAGTGCAGCCTGCCTTCTGCATCGACTGAGGAAGGCCCCTGAAGGGAAGATATGGAGGACGGCCCCATGCAGCGGTGGGCTGCTCAGTCAGGCCATGCTAAGATGTAAACTGTCTAGATTGGCTCCTGCTAGATCTGACCTCAGCTTGGTTAAGATTTAAAGATTAAAAAGTTAAAAAATCATACCTGTATGGACAAGCCTTCATAGTGCTTTAGTGCATTAAATGATTAACAACATTTTTTCCTCAGGTTTTCTCCTTTTTTCCATTTACAGAAATTCATCTGATCAAACAAGTTCACTCCTGGTGAAAAATCTAGATGTGTCTATAGATCTATAGACTCTCTTACTGTGTGTGTGGCTGACAGAGTGTTAATGATCCATTAGAAAATGTTCCTCTGCTGCATTCAGAGCATTCAGTGTCTGACAGCGACGTTCCTGTAAGAATAAAGAATGATATTAATCCACAACACTGATTATATGTAGAAGAGATATGAATAAATAATACATCATAATTTAGAAAAAGAAGTAAATATAAAACCAGGGTTGTTGTAAAAATGTTACCTTTCTTGCTAATATACTGTCCAGGTTTACAGCTGCTGTGCTTTTCTGCAGCATCACAGCTGCCTTCAATATCATCAATACAGAAATATCCTTCCAGAGCTTCACAAACTGTATCTGATGATCGTGAACATTTGATTTTTAGCCTCAGACCAGAACCTGCCAACATAGAACAAAGTTATAATGAGAGAAAACACTGATTCTGAGTTTAGCTTTTTTATTAACATTTTCCCTGAAGCTTAAAAGACCCATCTTATAACTGTCCTTTTCTCTTCGTATTCTTGACCTAAAGATTTTAACATAAGATAAATAGGTATTTCATTGGTTTTCAAGAGAAGTTAAGAGGAACCAGAAAAGGAAACAGAAGTAGTCCAATAATTCTCTGGGCTACCAGCAGGGGGCAGCATTTGGAGGAGGTTGTAGCCCAACTACACTTTAAAGCATCAGAATCTGAATGAGCCACAAAACCAACTAGATTTAGCTGACTGAGCAGTGGGATAAAAAACAATGTCTGGAATGTTTATCTTTTTCACATTGATTTGTAGTAAGAGGGACGAAAAAATGTATCTGAAAATAAAATTAGAAAATTCTATTTTTATATTTTTGTTGTATTTATATTTTTATGTGTTTTTCTCTTTATTGTGTATGTACACATTTATTTATGTATTTATTCATTCATTTATGTATTTCTTTTTTATTTATAAATTCAAACATTTATTTCTGTATTTTTACCTTTTCACACTTATATCTACATTTCAGTCTTAATGGTTAATGGTTGGTTGTTCTAACTTTTGCCTGCAGCACGACTGGTTCCAGCTTTCAGTGTCGTTGTGTCCTTGGGCAAGACACTTCACCTGCATTGCTACTGATCAGAGGACCTGGTGGCATCAGTGTACGGCAGCCTCACTTCTGTCAGCGAGCCCCAGGGCAGCTGTGGCTACAATGTAGTTTGCCACCATGTGTGAGTAAATGAGTGAATGTAGTGTAAAGCACTTTGGTCAAGTCCTCTGAAAAATGGTTATATAAGCACAGGCCATTTACCATTTCCAAGGTTAGTGGGAGTCTGTATTAATTAGCGCAAAATACAAACTATTTAAATTTTATCTATGGATTTTATTAAACTATTAAACAGAGGCCGATACGAGACCTTATATGCAGCCTGTTGGTTCATTTTTCTAAGACCTATGTCCTCCTCGGCTCAGCTAAGCATCTCTAAGGAGTAGCAGAAAACACAGAGGCAGCGCAGGCAGAGCCTTCAGCATCAGCAGCTGAGAAGCAAGTAGAGACACAGCAGGTGAAAGATGATGAACAATAGAGCAGGAGGAGAAGGTTCAGTTCCAGGTTTTCTCTGAGGTCATGATGTGATGGTCTGTTAGGATTTATTCAGACATCCTTCTGCTCTGCATCCATGTATGAATCGTTTGCTTCTGTCTGACCCTCCCAGTTAACCAATAATGCTAAAGACGAATATTAGAACCACAGAGACAGAAATTTGGAAATAAAAATAAATAGAAGTAGAAATAAATTAACTAATAAATAGTTGTTTAAAAATGAAAAATGCACAATACAAAAACAAGAATTTGCCTTTTCATGACTACACCTTAATTATGAATTTATGTTTATATTTAGTAAAAAAGAATAATGTGTATTTATTTATGTATTTATGTATATTTCAACTAAATTCTATATTATTTATATATTAATTTATACAATTATATGTGTATTTATTCATTTTCATCTTTGTTTTGTTTTTTTCATTTCCCTTATAGTGATATCAAGATCTTTGAAAAAAAAAAAAAAAAAATACTTCAGTGATGATGAGGAATAAAATTAGACATTTCACCTTCATCACATCTCCTGCATGGGTTGCATTGCTTTTTCCCAGTAGGAGTCTCCATATATGTTCCATCAGCACAGAGTAGACAGGATGTTTCTGTGAACTCAGTGCAGTCTGTGTCCACTTGACTCCCTGTTAGAAAAGGAAAATAACAATCCCAATTCTGGAATTTCATCTTTAATTTCAAAGACATAACAATGAGGCAAAAGATCAAAAGCTCATCCCAACTGAGTGAGGAAATATTTTACTCCAAATAAACACCTGAAGGATGGCAGCTGCTGAAAACCCAGATCAGCACCACATTTATGGAAAAGTTCATCCTAAAACTCCAAGATGCCGCACCAAGGAACCATGTTAGTCAGACCTGAAGAGGTGCTGACAGCAGATTATAACCTCTAATATTAAAAAGATCATATAAATTAGATTTTTTTTATTCCTAAACTCAGTGAACTACATAATTACCAAGAGCCACACGACAACACCAGGGGACTAATACGGTTTATTCTAAACTAAGGATGTCTGAAGTTCTAGCTGTGATACGATTTATGGGCCAGATAACAACCGTAATAATGAGATGTTTGGTAAAAAATATTACTGTGATTAAATTATTAATTAGCACCCAAAATGGACTGACAGTGTCACAGTAGCAGGGTATTAAGTCACATACTTCACTTAAAATAGAAAGCAACACTAAACTAATCCACAGATTAGCCAAATTTAACAGATGAGCAACATTAATCAAGCTAAACTGCTTCTAAGAATGCAAATAAATCCATGAGTCAAATCATTTCTGACAATAAATATCTATTAGGTAAAAATATATAAATATAAACTACAACTTTAAACAATGATGTCAGTTTTTGCTTCATCCACTTCTTGATTAACTTAACTTAAAATATCAGCTCTAATTTTTTTAGACTAAAACAGAAACAACTAGAGAAGTGCAGACCTTCATCAAGCAGCAAATTTCGCCCCTAATTGTGAATTTCACCGATAGCTAAAACTCACACATGATCTGGATCACTATCAAGTTTAATGGATTGTTCCTCTGGGAAAACATTTAAATAAGATCTATTGATAACTTCCTGTACACAGCCTGACACACAAACTCTCCTAAAAAAAACAACCTTCTTGGTGGAAGTAATAATACAACCAACGCTGAAAAATCTTTATGACACACACTAATACTGTTGAGCTGGACTGTCAATGTAGAAATGATCTGGGCTGCTAACTATTACTATACACCCCAAAAATATTTTGGAGTATGTGAGTGATTTATATATAATATCAATGAAAACCCTGCCATCATATCTGCTTGGTTTCAGATAGATATTGTTAACTGGTCTGACTGTATGATCTGATTGAATTTGTTCTGTATAATCATTTAGAGGACATGTGTTTGGAATTTATGCTATATAAATAACCTGCCTGTTGGGATCTGGAGCGGTACCATCCGTCTCCAGCAGAGTGCGCCGTGGATCCTCCTGAAGCTAAGCCCCCAACACACCTGAGGCGCATCTCGTCATCAGGAGGACCTGCAGTATATAACCGGCCTTCAGACCTTGCCTCAATGCCGTAGTGTTGATCCAGTTTGGTTAGCACCTAAGCCTAGAACCTCCTGAGAATCTCTAGTGATCTCCCTAGTGATCAGTCTCTCTTCTAACTTCTGTTGTCTATGCTTCACAGGAAACCTGTTCCCTTGGAAGCTCTGGATGAGCTTAACCTGCCGAGCCTGCCCTCAGAGCCAAACCTGAAGACTCTCCTCTGGATTCCTCTGCAGCTCTTGGCTAAGAGCTGGAAACCAAAACCCAAGGACTGCATTCAAGTTAGAAGTAAGACGCCGAAGCGGTTATTGAACTCTGCAGAACAAATCAGTCTCTGGACCCAACAGTTCCTTCCTCAAAGAGAAACCCGGACTCCTCAAGGTATTCTTCTGAAACTTCAAGACGCCAACTCCTCTGTGCCAACGCTAACTGAACTGTCATCCTCACAGACTCCAGTGAACCCGTCCCCGGCCAGAACCAGTTCCAGTTCATATGATTATTGTGCTTATGTTTTAAACATTATAAAACTTTCCATCTGTTTCCGTGGTGTTCTGCATATTGGGCTTCTCTGAGAACCAATCTTGACAGAACACTGCGGCCAAACACAAGGCCCCGCAGATCACCTCCATCGTAAGCTGGAAGAGCAAGACGCTCAACTACAAGGACACGCTCTGGCCCTTCGTGAGTTACACACTAAAATTGAACTACAGAATCAGATGCTTCAAACGTGTGCAAGCTACATGGATAGCGCTAGCACAGCCTCTACAGCGCAACCTTTTCCGGGTCCAGTTCCGCCTCCGAGGTCACCGGTTGCGACGTCATCACCTGAGTTTCGTCCTAGTCTTCCTGAAAAGTTTTCACGTAATATGAAGGATTGTAAAGGATTTTTGTTTCAATGCCGTCTCATCTTTAAGAACTCTCCTAGAAGTTTTCCTACGGACGAAAAGAAAATAACATTTATTTTGTCCCAACTGACAGGAAGAGCCCTTGAGTGGGCGCAGGCAAGATTTGCCTCCGAAGACAGCATCAATGACAATTTTTCTGATTTTGTTTCTGAATTTTCCCAAGTATTTAATCATGATTCCGACCAAACTATTGACTCTCGTGCTCTGTTAAGCCTAAAACAGGGAGATTCCTCCTTTGCTGATTTCTCCATCAACTTCCGGGTTAAAGCCGCTGCCTCCGGATGGAATCAACGGGCTCTTACAAGTGCATTTTTCAACGCTTTAAATGAAAATATTAAGGATGAACTCGCAACCCTTGATGAACCAGAAACTCTAGATGAATTAATCCGCCTAACCATTAGGTTGGATAACAGAATCCGTGCTAGAAACCATTCTAGACAAAGAAATCAAGTTCCTTCTGTGTCTTCCCCTGCTTCTAATAATGCTACTTTTTCTTCTGGTCCCACAGAACCCTTTTCCAAGCCAAGGTCTAAGACCCAGTCACTTTCTATGTCTATTCAGGTCTCTCATGCAGTAGAAACGGAAGCTGAACCAATGCAGGTTGGACATACAAGGCTAACCCCTGAGGAAAGACTAAGACGTGTCAGAAGCAAGCTTTGCATCCACTGTGGTGAAACTGGCCATTTCATCGCTTCATGCCCCGCTAAGTTAAAAGCTTGGGCCCGTCAGAAGATCTGAGGAGTCTGACGGGCCATTTAACTTCAGGGAAATCTCCTCGTCTCATGCTTCCAGCTACTTTGTGCTTTTCAGATCAGACTCTCACTTTGTCTGGTTTCATCGACTCAGGCTGTGAACGCAATCTGATAGACTCCAACCTGGTTCAGCAGCTAAAAATTTATACTATCCCTTTATCCAAGCCTCTTTGTGTCTCCGCTATTGATGGGAAAAAACTCCACCAAGTCACCCACCAAACAAAACCCCTCGAGCTGCTAATTTCAGGTAATCACCGTGAAACTCTGACGTTTTTTGTGCTTCCCTCTGCATGTTCCCCTGTGGTGCTTGGGTTCGAATGGCTGCAACGACATAATCCCCATTTAAACTGGGCTGATCGCCACATCGAAGCATGGTCGACCTCATGTCACGAGACGTGCCTTCGTTCCGCAGCTCCCGCTGTAAGGTCTCCTAGAGGTAGGGGGGAGATGAACTCTCCTGACCTTACTTCTGTCCCGTCCGAATACCATGATCTGGCTCCTGTCTTCAGTAAGGTCAGTGCTACGTCTCTTCCACCTCACAGACCATATGACTGTGCGATTGAGCTATTACCTGGCACCCCTCTACCTAGCAGTAGACTTTACAACATTTCAAAACCTGAACGAGAAACTATGGAGAAATACATAAACGAGTCCCTGGCTGCTGGCATAATCCGCCCTTCTTCCTCTCCGTTGGGTGCCGGATTCTTTTTTGTGGGTAAAAAGGATGGTTCTCTAAGACCTTGTATCGATTACAGAGGCCTTAACCAAATAACAGTCAAAAATAAATACCCACTTCCATTACTAGCATCAGCCTTCGAACCAGTTCAAGGGGCCACCGTCTTCACTAAACTCGATTTAAGGAACGCTTATCACCTTCTCAGGATTAGAGAAGGTGACGAATGGAAGACTGCCTTCAAAACTCCTTTAGGTCAGTTTGAATATTTAGTCTTGCCTTTTGGTCTCACTAACGCTCCAGCATGTTTCCAAGCCCTGGTCAATGATGTCCTCAGAGACTTTTTGAACGTTTTCGTCTTCGTTTACCTTGATGACATCCTAATTTACTCTAAAGATCTCTCCGAGCATAAGAAACACGTCCGCCTGGTCCTACAGAGATTTCTGGAAAACAAACTTTTTGCTAAAGCCGAGAAATGTGAATTTCACCAGTCTTCAGTGACATTTTTAGGGTTTGTGCTCGAGGGCGGGGAGGTTAAGCCATCCGAAGAAAAGATAAAAGCAGTTTTGGATTGGCCAGTTCCTGAAAACCGTAAACAGCTGCAGAGATTCCTGGGCTTCGCCAATTTCTACTGTCGCTTCATCAGGAATTACAGTCAGACAGCTTTACCTCTCACAACTCTAACTTCAGTCAAAAAGACTTTCCAGTGGACCCCCGAAACTCAAAACACCTTTGACAAACTTGAGACTTTGTTTTCCAGAGCCCCCGTGTTAATCCAGCCTGATCCAACCAAGCAATTTATCCTCGAAGTGGACGCCTCTGACTCTGGAGTCGGTGCAGTATTATCACAAAAACTCGATTCGGATCAAAGAGTACATCCTTGTGCTTTCTTTTCTCGTAGACTTTCTCCTGCTGAACAGAACTACGACGTTGGTGACCGTGAACTCTTGGCCATCAAATTGGCGTTGGAGGAGTGGAGACACTGGCTTGAAGGAGCTGAACACCCGGTCCTAGTATGGACCGATCACAAGAACTTAGCCTACATCCAGTCCGCCAAACAAGCAAACCCACGCCAGTCTAGATGGTCACTCTTTTTCTCCCGTTTCAACCTCATCATCTCTTACAGACCCGGATCCAAGAACACCAAGCCCGATTCTCTCTCTCGTCTCTACTCCGTTGATCAATCCGAGACGCCTGCACCCATTCTCCCGGCATCCTGCACAGTTGGAGTGGTTACCTGGGAAATCACCGACCTGATAAACTCTGCCCTGGCTTCTGAACCTGACCCAGGTAACGGTCCTCCAAACAGAACCTATGTCCCTTCTTCAGTCAGATCCCGCCTGATCCAATGGATGCATGCAGCCAAGTTTTCCGCTCATCCGGGGGTAAGCAGAACCATCCATTTAATTTCAAGACGTTTCTGGTGGCCTACTCTACACAAGGACGTGAAGGAGTATGTTCTGGCCTGCCCTGTCTGCGCAAGAAACAAGACTTCACATCAACCACCCTAAGGTCTGTTGAACCCACTACCTGTACCTACTCGTCCCTGGTCTCACTTAGCCATCGATTTCGTCACTGGACTTCCCATCTCCCGAGGTATGACAACCATTTTCACCATCATCGATCGATTTTCTAAATCTTGCCACTTAATTCCTCTCAGAAAGCTCCCCACAGCCTTCCAAACAGCCCAGCTCCTTGTTAAGCATGTCTTTCAACTCCATGGAATTCCTCAGGATATTCTCTCAGACCGTGGTCCTCAGTTTATTTCCCAGGTTTGGAAGGCTTTCTGCGCAGCTCTCAATTGCAAATCTTCTCTAACGTCTGGTTATCATACACAGTCTAATGGTCAAACCGAAAGAATGAACCAACAGCTCGAGTCCACTCTCCGTTGCCTGACCTCAAACAACCCCACCGATTGGAGCCAATATCTCACCTGGATTGAATACGCCCATAACTCTCTCAAGTCCATCCACCGGCCAGTCACCTTTTCAGGTTAGTCTCGGATATCAACCCCCTCTTTTTCCAGCAGACGAGAGAGAGATTTCAGTGCAATCAGTCAATCATCACATCCATCGCTGTCAGCGAGTCTGGAGAGACACCATCGCTGCTCTCAACCGTTCCTCCGACACCACCAAACGCTTTGCTGATTCTAGGAGACGTCCTGCCCCGGAGTACTCAGTCGGTCAAGAGGTATGGCTCTCAACCCGGGACATTCCCATCAAGGGGATGTCTCGCAAACTGTCTCCTAGATACATTGGTCCTTACAAGATTTCCAAGGTCATCAATCCTTCAGCCATACGTCTACAACTTCCTGCTAGTCTCCATATAAATCCCACTTTCCACGTCTCTCAAGTAAAACCAGTGGTTTCTAGTCCTTTGTGCCCTCCGTCCGACTCCCCTCCACCCGCCCTGGAAGTCGATGGACATCCTGCCTACACCGTCCGCCGGATCGTGGACTCCCATCGTCAAGGTCGCGGTTAGCAGTACCTCGTCGACTGGGAGGGCTACGGTCCGGAGGACCGCACATGGATTCCTGGCTCCTACATCCTCGATCCGTCACTGATCGAGGAGTATGAGCGCTCCCTCCCGTCGACGTCTTCTGGACTGCCAAGAGGCGGTCGTTGAGAGGGGGGTACTGTTGGGATCTGGAGCGGTACCATCCGTCTCCAGCAGAGTGCGCTGTGGATCCTCCTGAAGCTGAGCCTCCAACACACCTGAGGCGCATCTCGTCATCAGGAGGACCTGCAGTATATAACCGGCCTTCAGACCTTGCCTCAATGCCGCAGTGTTGATCCAGTTTGGTTAGCACCTAAGCCTAGAACCTCCTGAGAATCTCTAGTGATCTCCCTAGTGATCAGTCTCTCTTCTAACCTTCGTTGTCTATGCTTCACAGGAAACCTGTTCCCTTGGAAGCTCTGGATGAGCTTAACCTGCCGAGCCTGCCCTCTGAGTCAAACCTGAAGACTCTCCTCTGGATTCCTCTGCAGCTCTTGGCTAAGAGCTGGAAACCAAAACCCAACGTCTGCATTCAAGTCAGAAGTAAGACGCTGAAGCGGTTATTGAACTCTGCTGAACAAATCAGTCTCTGGACCCAACAGTTCCTTCCTCAAAGAGAAACCCGGACTCCTCAAGGTAATCTTCTGAAACTTCCAAACGCAAACTCCTCAGTGCCTACGCTAACTGAACTGTCATCCTCACAGACTCCAGTGAACCAGTCCCCGGCCAGAACCAGTTCCAGTTCATATGATTTATGTGCTTGTGTTTTAAATAAACATTGTAAAACCTTCCATCTGTTTCCGTGGTGTTCTGCATATTGGGCTTCTCTGAGAACCAATCATGACACTGCCAAGCCTAAAGGTGGGCCTTATCGTTAACTATTCGCTTAAGAGCATTTACAAAAGTTTCAAATATACATATTACTAAATAATGTTTTATTTACATCATTGGATATGCCTTCCGGTTGGAAAACATTGCATTTTGTTTAAATTACTTTAAAAGCTATTTAATAGAAACAAATAGTAAGAAATACTTTTATCTATAACAATCCTGTCTGATGGATTTCTTCTTTTTATTTGTCTCACCTTTTAACATGTTAGGAAAGGTTGTAATTGTGGTTATTAATGTGAACTATAAATAATTTAGGGTCTTGAAAAAATATTATCTTGCCTTAAGAATTACAGTCTGCATATTCTGTGTATAGAGTTTACATATTTTAGAAGACAGTCAAAGTTAAATCAAGGCTTTATGAGTGATTCTCAAATCATCTGACAGCATAGAAGAATACTTAAACTGTGAAGTATATAATTGATTAAAGGAGAAAAAGGAAAAAAGCAGAAATAGTTTTATCTTGTTGAGTCTTACCAGTAGGGCACACAGTGCAGCATACGTTTCCAACCTTGTACTCTGTAATATGACATCTCTTGACACTAAAATTCATAGTTGGAATTAAAATTATCTGTGAAGAAAATTCATTTCAACACTTTTAGTAAATTCAACAGTAGATTTAAACAGACATATTTTCAGATACAGATTAATCCTTCTTTATATAATGTGAACAAATGTGTAAAGTTACATTAACCCTGCTCTTTTCTAGTGATTCAAAAACAAGAAAAGGGAAAGATAAAATTATGCAAGTGCATATCATCGTAGGACCTCACTTCCTGCTCACCTTCAGAGAAAGATCTATAGTAACAACATGTAACTTCAGTGGCAAATGTTACATTGCTTTAGTTGTGGCTGGTTTGGCATCAGTTTTAGACTGAGGCTGTAAATTCATAAAAAAGAACAATTAAGCATTCTGGAGATTTGTTAGTTTTTTTTTTGTTTTTTTTTAAGGGATATTGCTCCCTACCTAATGTTTTTTAACCATATTTTAAAAAGTTTTAATAAATACCTTACAGGGGTTAGATTAAAAAGGTAGACTTGCACCTGCTACCCTTTATGTGTGGTTACGAGATTTTAAACCTCTGCTTCCCATGGTCAGTTCAGTATAAGACATCTATCAGGTTAGTGTAACATGCATATTTACCAGCAGATAGACAGTTGCTACTTCACTTCCTTGGAGGTTCATTTTTTTAAATTCCTATAACGCCAGACATCATCTCACAGATCATGAAGGAAGTTCAATCAGCAACAGGAAGTCATCACCTGGAAACAAAAGAAAATATTTATTGAAACACTGAGGTCTCACTATTATCGTCTATATATATATATATATATATATATATATATATATATATATATATATATATATATATATATATATATATATATATATATATATATATATATATATATATATATATATTAGTGCTGTCAATCGATTAAATTTTTTAATCGCGATTAATCGCATCAATGCCTGAGTTAACTCGCGATTAATCGCATTTTAATCGCACATTTTTTTCCTGATTGAAAATCATTTAAATACTCTCGATGACATACAAAAAAATACATACAGGCTAGGTTTGTGCCAATGTTCTTTTTTAAAAATGAAAACAGGTCACAGATACTGATTTATGCCATAGAAACATATGGCAAGAATATGGGGAGGCATGTAGCAAAAAATAACAAATATGTAGCCAAAAAAAAGGCCCTGAAAACAGGCTGATGTAAAAGACAGTCTTTACAGTTAATACAGTCTTTTGAACAAAGACAAGCATTTTACCCTACTGCTATAAAATGCAGTAGAGTTAACATTAGATGTCAATTAACCAAGATAATAATGAACAATTTTCAATCAATACATCAAAATCAATAGACCGACATCACTAGATGGAGGTAGTCTATGCTCTAGAAAGTTACTTTTCAGCCTCTTAACAAAAATGAGAACACACACACACACACACACACACACACACACAATACCGACCTGTGGCGTACACAGACAGCAAGAGTGCCGTAGCAGATTCCATTTCACCTCAGTAATCTGTTTTCTCAGCGTATTTCAGGTTGCTACTAGTTACCAGACACTCAACTTGTTTGTTGGTGGTGGGGCTTAAAGAAAAGGCACTAGCGTCATCCAGTGTATGAGCGTCTTTTTCCCTTGAGGAGCTCCGCTCTTGAAGCCTATGAGAAATGCATAGACTGGGGGAAAATAGCCCCGCCTTCCCGCAGGCTGCAGCGGGATGTACTTGGAAAATTGTACCATAAAACCACATAGCGTTAATCTCACGTTAAAAAAATTATCGCTGTTAAAATGGCCTCGCGTTAACGCGATAATAACGCGATAATTTTGACAGCCCTAATATATATATATATATATATATATATATATATATATATATATATATATAAATACCATAAATCCTCTAATATAGGCCCAGGACTTTTATTTCACTCAGGTGCATCTTGGTCCAGGCCATTATTGGAAGGAGGCCAGAATTAGAGGCAGGCCTCTATTTCTATTTGATCAAAACTGACTACCAGTGGAATTAATAAAAACTAGATTTTGTGTCTCTTTGAACATATGAAATACTAGGTTAATTTATTGAAAGATTACAGTTACCATAATGGTAATGGTATAAAAAATAATAATGGAAACTGTTCTGCCATCACAGCGAAATTTTATTTGAGGCAGGCTAAGTGGAAGTAGGCTACCAGTATCATATATTTCAATTCAGGAAATTCAGATCAACGAAGGCCAATGACATTCTGTTATTTTAACGCTGCCCGGTTACCACCAGACCTACTGGTGATCACATTTGTCTTTCAGATCAGAACGATTGTGTGGCTGGTTATACTCCTGCAGCAGTGTGTCGCAGTGAGCTTAAGGCAGACATTTTTGATTTATGCTCAATAATGAAGCGTGGTCTGCGCTATACGCTGGGGGTCTAGATACGGCCGAGGCGATGAGGAAGTGGGGGCGAGTAGTCCGACAATGGAGGGACATGACGGTGAAAAAGAGCGGAGATCCAGCTGGAAAAAGGCGCATCTCGCTCTTCTAGCGGGTCAAACTTCATGAGTTGTGTTCTGCAATTTCGGTCATAAAAACAAAACAAGCCGGCTTCCTCTCAGCGGCACTGTCTGCACTAAGGATGCGACTGCCCAGGAACATTGTTGGTTCTAATTATAGCCCCAGCCTGAATCCAAGTCCGGTCAGTATTTACCCCCACCGGCCATTATTAGAGACCCGGGTCCTAATGGAATACAGGTCAATACTAGAGGATTTACGCTATTTCTTTAATTACTTTATTAAATGAGGCAATTTTATTCTAGTTTATTCTGGTTTCTATGAAAGTGCATTGCATTCACCAAAGAACAAAAAATCTGACAACTTATCTCATAATTACGAAATAGGGTCTCATAATTATGTTATATGTGTTGGAGTTCTGCTCCTGTTTTTCACTTCATCAAGAAATCCATCAATAACCCTGGGATTACTACCTGTGGAGTCATGGGCGTAAGTTTGCATAGGGACCATAGCACTGGCATAACTTTCTGAAGGGCTGGTGTGGACATGTCCCCACCAACTTTGGGCATGGAGGGGACAGTCCCCACCAGTAATGTCCGCCTCTCCCCCCCTTCCGCTGATTTACTTCAGCCAACAGTAACTGGGGTTAAGTACAGCTAACTGTGTTCAGAGCGTTTTCAGTCCGTGCTTTTTCCTTCCTCTCCATGAAACATCATCAGATCTGTAGCTTTGGGACATTCACTGCGTACAGAGTCGCTACGAGGATGAGAAGAGATGCTGATATGGCAAGCCATTTTTACATACTGTCTGTTTCGTCTGAACTAACTAACCGTTTTAACATAAATTCACAGCAACACTCAGTAAATTTTAACTGGCAGCTACTTCAATATATGTTCAAGTAAAACTTAGGAGATGGGTTGGTTAAAAAAATCAGAGATGCCACAGAATAATCCGTTAGTTACACGTAGGAAACTTTTTCAGCAGATTGTACATTTATATACGGCAAGTTAAAAAAGCTGGGCTTCTCAGAACCATACTCATTACAGATCAAAATTAACACATATATGTTGTTTTCTTATTGAACAGAGAATCAGACTGCAGAGCTTCTAGAGATCCTGAAAATTATTTTCTCTGGCATCATTATATTGGTGGACTGGTTCATAAATCTGTTTTTAAGCACAACAGAGACACAATTAGGGAAAGCTGCAGATTTAAAGGTGAAACAGATTTACTGGGATATGCAACATGATATAAAATATATCGCCAGGTTTACAAGAAAAAATATGCAATGCTATAATAAAATTCAACATATCATTTTGTCATTTGTAGTTCAATGAGACTTAGAAAGAGCTGCAACCCAGAGACAGTCAGACTCACTGGACACAGACTTAAAATTAAAATCTAAGAAACCTACAAGAATTAAAGCACAAATAATAAAATCAGTGTATAAATGATTTTTGAAATATAAGGTTCAATATATAGACTTTGGCTGTAAATGACATTTGGGACAAATTTCTAACTTAGATTTTGTTGCTTGTAAAGGAGGATAATCACTGATGCAGCTTAAAGGGAAGCCATGCATGGATGGATGCATGGATGCATGGATGGATGGATGGATGGATGGATGGATGGATGGATGGATGGATGGATGGATGGATGGATGGATGGATGGATGGATGGATGGAAGTGAAGTTGTGTCCATTCTAGGGATGCAGGATATATTGATGTTGGTATCGGCTGTTATTCGTCCTTTTTTTATACGTTAATGTGTTTGAGCACTTTATAAAATAATGCACTAAAGGAAGGCATCTGTCTATAACTATGTAAAAATAGTAAAGCATTCAATAAATATATGTTTGAGCTCATTTTTGGAAAATATAAACCCTGTTGAAAGCATTGGGGTTGAGTAGCTGTAGGTCCATCAGCCTCCACCCTTAGGGCGTCCCCACCAACTTTTATCGCAAAGTTACACCCTTGGACCATAGGGACATGTCCCTACCAAAATGTTGGACCGACCTATTTCTCCCTACCAATAATTGGATTTGAACAACATGTTTATAATTTACTATACAGCAGTAGTTGTTGCAGCAGTGGCTTCTTTTCCTCTCTGAGCTCCTCTGCCTGGTAGCTGCAGCTGCCTGCTCTTTCATGTATCTTTCCCATAGCAGCGCATCAACTGGGCTGCGCTGTTTAACTCTCTGCTTTTTCTGCCTTAAGTTCCATCTTCTCTCTTTCTAATTGTTTGTTTTCTAGTCTCTATGTGTGCGTGTTGGAGCGCAATAAAGAAAAATGAGGCTAGAATATGGCGGTTATTAAAATTAATATTAGGCTATGAAACTAGTCCAAATTAAAAAACTAAATATTTGAAGGCTAAGACAGGTGAAAGCTTCTGATTGCAGTTCTGTAAAGAAACAGGAGAGGGTTTGGATTTGTGGAACTTGAGAAATGAAAGTAACCAACTTTAGGATTTCTTTATTAAACTAAATATTCTGAGTCAGACAGGAGTTCAGAAAACTGCTGTTAAAATGAACAAAGACTGTAAACTATCAACATTTCTGATTCTTTTACCAATATTTCTTTTTACTATTAATGTTTTCCTTTTTGATTGCAGTTCAGGTATAAATAACAGGTTTTAATTTTTTTTATAGAACAACATGATAAGGATGCTACAGATCTATTTTTTGTTTTTCACATAAAAATAGTTTTATTTAATTAACTTCTACTTCTAGAAATCAGATAAAGACAAACAGAGGAGCTCTATTTACACTGATTCTATTTTTCCATAAGTAAATTAGTACATTAATGTCTGGTAAATAATGCTTGAATCTGTTTGTTTATTTTAGATACTATTACATTACAGATAAGATAGTGTTATATTGTCTTTTATAATTGTTAAAAGTAATTTTATATTTGAATAAACTAAGGCTCATTCTTAGTGTTGTGTTTGTAGATGATGCCACTAAAAAGAAAATAGACACAAGGAGCTATTTAAACAGTCAGACAGTGAATATTATAGGATGATGATAAAAGGTTTTGTTACATTTAATCCTTTACTATTAAAAACGCACTTGTATAATAGAAACATTATATGATGATAATGATGCAGGGCAGCTTGAAGGTGAAGCTGCCCTTCAGTGCTGCATTAAGAAATGTGTTTGGAATGTTGTCATAAAATTAGGGCTGCAACTAATGATTATTCTGTGAATTGATTAATCTGTTGATTATTTTTTTCGATGAATCGATTAATAATCAGATCAGCCAAAGGTTCCTTAAAGAAGATTTTTTACAAGATTAAACCAGGTAAAATAGAAAGTTTCCCCTTGAGGAGTTCTGGATGGAGAATATTGACAGACAAAAAATTTTTTTTTTATCTTAAATGCAAAATGTTTACATATTTTTTACAATCTTGGTATAATTCCTGCTCTAAGTGGGTCGGTCTGTCGGCTAACGGCACATTTTAGTGGCCCTATACTCCAGTTAACAATTAATCAATTGCTAAATGAGCTGTCGATTATTTAGAGAATCTATTAATATGATTTATTAATATCCAGCTCCTCCAGGCTGGATTACTGCAACGCTCTCCTCATCGGGAACTCTGGCAGGAGCCTTCAGAAGCTCCAGTACGTACAGAACAGTGCTGCCAGGGTCCTGATGAGGGTGATCACTCCCATCCTCCACACTTTGCACTGGCTCCCTATTCACGCCCGTATAGAGTACAAGATTCTTCTGCACACCCATCACTGTGTGCACGGTGCGGCCCCCACCTATCTCACTGAACTGCTCACACCACACACCTCTTCCCGGACCCGGTCAGGCCAACAGCACCGTCTGGCCTCACCCAGGACACGGCTAAAAACAATGGGCCTTGAAGCTGCAGCTCCCTGTCTGTGGAATGCCCTTCCAGACCACCTTAGGGCCCCACAGATTGGATTGTTTTAAAAATGGATTGAAAACTTTCCCTTTTAGAAATGCTTACAAATGCTGATTTTTAGATTTTTTTATAGGCTAGGTGTGCCTTCGAATGCATTGATTATAATGATTGTCTTTTTACTCTGTTTTTAATGTTATGGTCTTTTAACCTTGTTTTAATTTTCCCTTTTTTTAAATGTAGCACTTTGAGATTTGAAGTCAAATGTAAAGTGCGTTACAAATAAAATTCATTATCATTATTATTATTATTATTATTTATTGTGTCAGCCCAAGATAAAATACATGAAATGGGCTTTACAGAGTAACTACAGCCCAGATGTACAACTTTTATAGTAAAGTTAATATTTTAAATGCTCAGTGTCATTTCCTCTTATAGTTCCAGTGCTCATGGAAATACAATACATTTATTTGCGTCCCTTTAATGTATTATTTGGCGTGATACAGAGAGAGCATATTAGATGGAAAAAAAGATTGGGGTTTACCTCTGCACAATTCTATATCTTCCAAAGAAAACCCAGGATAAATCCACATATAAAAGACACATTTAGACTATATTTGGTTAAATAGGAACGTATTTACCTTCTGTCTTAGTCGCTGGTAAGTTTAAATGCAAACCTTTTCAATGTGTAAAAAAGTCCTAATTCCATATTCATCAGAGCCAGCAGTGGCGGTTCTAGACCAAATGTACCAGGGGGCCAGGAGGGGGCCAATGTTGTTTTCATGGGGGTCCAGAAAAGCATGAAATAAAAAACAGGGTTAGCGATTTAAATATATCAAGATAGCTGCATGAAGTGACATTTCTATTCAATTAGGTTTAAATAAAATTATATGTCTTATTAGATCAACAGATATTCATAATTTAGGAATTTTACATATTTTTGACTTAATTTAAGTTTTTTTTTTATAAATTCTGAATTAGAACTCCAGAAAAAAAAATGATAAATTCAGCTGTAAAAATTTGATTTATTTTTTTAATTTGTTTTGGAAAAAAACATTAAGCAGATAAAAACTGGGCTCCTATCTCAAGGCCACTGAAGCTATCACCTCCTTGTTTTAAATAATTGCTAAAACAGAATTTGTAAAGAAAAAAATGAAATAGATCCAAAGGACCTATCAGTAACCATGTCTGTTCCAGGGCATATCATCATTAGAATTTCTTTGAGTATTATGTATTCAATACAGGGGCCATAACGGGGGCCAGGATATGATCTACAGGGGCACTGGCCCCCGTCGGCCCCTGTCTAGAACCGCCCATGAGAGCCAGTGATGCTTTAAACATTGACAAACATCATATAGTGAGTGTAGCGCTTATAGGATTTGTATTAATGTAGCAGAAATGCTGCTGTTCTCTTTAAACAAACTAAGCCCTGATGCTCACATTAAGCATAAAAAGCAGCGTGCATATTTTTGCAAAGGACCAATGACATCAGACCAATGAAACTGAAGACCAATAGTGTCCCTATCAAAGCTGAAATCAAACCTACGTCCTTGTGTGGAGCAAGCATGCAGCGATATGACCATACTGATAATCAGTCAACAGCTCTATTAATACAGATTCCGTTTGGTTTTAGTTTTTCATATGAATCGACATGTTGCATGAAGTTGGGACCTGGTCGTTTCAAACGATTCTGAAGCTGTCATGATCTCTGCGCTGATGGTTCAGTTTTTTTCCTTTCCTCCTTGCTCCCCTGTCTAATTTGTCCTGCGGCTGATTAACCCTGATCATTTCCACCTGGTTATTCAGCTATTTATGTTGCGCGCTTATTGCCTTCCGTCAGTGCCAGTTTATTCAAGCAGTTTGGTGAGATTAACTAGCGATCTGTATCTTGTTCTGTTTTCCTCATTGTAACCTGTTTCTGCCCTGTGGATATGGAGTGATTTTTCTGCCATGAACGCTTTGAGCTTTCCCACTGCCTGTCTCACCTTGAATTATGAATCCAACGTTCTGAGGTCATTACAGAAGCCTCAGCTTTTGAGAAGGAATCGATGGATAGTTCTATGTGACACCACCAAGCAGCTTAAATGCTTTTCAGACGCATTCAATTACAACCATAAGCAGCTTGTGCTGGTTTAATTGCTCTTGCAGGAAACGTGTGAAGTCAGAGTGGGCTTCTTCGGCTAAAAAAATTCTAAGGACTTACTTTACAATTAAAATTTATTCAATGCACATTAATGAAACTCTGTATTTCCCAGTGTCGCATACCTAAAAGGAAATAAAAGCAGATTAAATCTAATAACCCACTTATTGTTCACGTTCCATGTAGCGGAGATCAGCAATGACTGTGCTTCCTGATCTCCTAAATATGACATCTTATCTCGTAATTATGAGATTAGATGTCATAATATTGAGACCAGGATCTCATAATTATGAGATAAATTATCTCTAATAATTTCTGACAGTTTATCTCATAATTACGAGATATTAATAATATCTCGTAATTATGAGATAAACGGTCAGAAATTTTTTTCTTTGGTGAATGCAATACGCTTCCGTATAAAGGAAGTGTTTGCCTTTTGTTATGGCCGCGCAGAAAGCAGCCGTTTGAGAAGTTGTATCAAAATTGCTTCTCCACTATTTTACTTCCCTCTCTCTGATGTTCTCGTACCTTCTTGGCACATCGGCCAGCATCGTCCGTCCATGGTTGTGTATTCTCTGGGTTTGCATGTTGAATCAGAATCTACCAGAACGAAACCAACTGTAAACACATGGGGGGGGGGGGGGGATTTGGAGGGGAAATAGTGAGTCACCCTCATCATCTTGAGATCAGTTTAAGATGTGAACTCGAAGCCACACATTCAGACTCACCGCCGATGATCAACACGAAAAACGAGCTGTTACGTTCTCCTACGATGCTTTTATTGCTCTGGAAAACTTCCCTAAACTATTGATTTATTAAAGTTTTAAAACACAGCACAATTACGGCCAACGGGAAAAACCCCCCAGGAAGAAGAAACAATAGTTGCCAGGTTTGTTTGAAATAAGTTCTCCATTATAGACATCATGGACTCACTATAAACATTTATAAGTTAAATCAACAGTTCAGGGATTTTCAGTTTTCTTATTATTTGTTTCACTCTGCTTTTAATGCAAGCAGTAGAAAACAGTGGAAAACAAGTTTCACTTAAAGCCCATTGGATGAAGTAAATAATTTAAATATGAGTAATGTTTAATTAATAATAATAATAAAACAAATAATAATAATTTAAAAAAATAAATATTAATTGCGCATTATAGATTGCACAAGTTATTGTAGCGTCACATTACAGAGTCTGGTTGCAGCAGGAATGAATGACCTGCGGTCAAAGTGCTTCTTTTAACAAACAGGATGTAAAATCTTTAACTAAATGAGCTGCTCAGCTCCTCTACACTCTGGTACCGTATGAAGAATGAAGGTAATCTAAAAAAAAGTAAATAATAAAAAAAAAAAGTGTAGTGTATTAAAGCTACAGTGTGTAATAATTACAGGGATATACAGTCAGAAATGTAATATATTATACATAACTATGTTATTTATCATCATCTACGAGCTCAGCCTCTTAACCCTAATATTTGCGTCGCCTTAGAATTCGTTATTTATAATTACATAGGAGCGGGTCTCGCAGCCATGGAGGCAGACATCTTTGCACTACGGCAGCGCAGAGCCAACAATCTAGCGATTGCGAGATCGCCAAAACGTCACAACGATGAAGAAAAAATAACGGGTATATTTATTATCTTAAGTCTACATGAAATCTATACCCTACACAGACTAATGAAATACTATCTGTAAAATTATCTATGTAAACAAACCTCATCACTTGAGAAGGTAGGCGATGCGGACGTCGTGGAAGACATTTTGTCCCGTAACGCTCGCCGTACTGTTGGGGGGGAGAAGCGGTGGGGGGGGAGATGTTCATGTTGCTGCAGTCTGACTGCTAGATGTCGCTGAAAGTTACACACTGTAGCTTTAAATAATTGGTGTTTATCTTATGTCAGAAACCTGACATGACCATCATCTTAGAGCTTAGCCTGGTGCAAGGGTGAAACTTTGTAATGAAATTTGGTGGGGGGGACACAAGTGGGGGCCGATGGACCTACAGTTACTCAACCTGAACGCTTTCATTAGGTTCTTGTATTTTCCAAAAATGAGCTCAAACATATATTTATAGAATGCTTTCCTATTGTTGAGAACACAAGAGAACCATAATGCACTGATATTTATATTTATAGGTAGTAAGAGAGATGCCTTGTAGAGCATTTTATATATATATATATATATATATATATATATATATATATATATATATATATATATATATATATATATATATATATATATATATATATATATACATATAGAGCAGAAAACTTGGTACTGATGAAATGCTACTATACAAGCATGCCTAGTGAGAAAGGTTACATGCAGAGACTATGGGAATTATGGCAGCTCCAACAACCATTGTCATCATTGACAAAGAAACAACTACTAACTCAGTGTTCCAACATCCGCAAACGGCAGCTCCTTTCTAGAAAAGATTTTTGAAAGTAAGAGCAGCAGTGGTATATATATATATATATATATATATATATATATATGTGTATATATATATATGTTTATATATGTATACATATATATAGGGCCCAAAAACATTAAATAATAAAAAAATAACGAATAACAGCCGATTCCGATGCCAAAATCGATATATCATGCATCCTTAGAAGTACAATTTCAATTCCATCCATCCAGAAAAATATGGATATGCTGCATTTTAAATATAGCATAGCAGATATTTTTCTGGTAAACTTGGAGATATATTTTATTGCATGTTGCATATCCCAGTAAATCTGTTTCACCTTAAATCTACAGCTCTCCCTATTTCTGCTGTGCGGTGTATAAAAAGATTTATGAACCTCTTTACTATTATAATGATGCCAAAAACAAAATTTCCAGAAATATAGAAGCTCTACAGCCTCATTCTATCTGTAAAATAAGAAAACATGTTAATTTTAACCTGTAGCTGGGATCCATGGTCCTCTGAGAGGCCCAGCTTTTTTAACTAGTAAAGAAGAACACAACATTTAAACTATGTTTTCTTAAGCTTATTGCATTATATTACTAACTTGTATAACCTTACAATCTGTTGCCATTTTTAGCTGAAAAACGTCCGCATGTCTAACAGATTTTTCAGTGGCGTCTCCTAATTTTTTTAACCAACCGGTCTCCTAACTTTTACCTAAACATACATCAAAGTAGCTCCCATTTAATGCTGCTGTGTCTCTCCTACTCAAGGTAGCGACTCTGTACACAGTGAAATGGGACCGCAAATCAGATGTCACAAAGCAATGTGAAAGAGGAAAATAAAAACACTGACTCAAAACGCTCTGAACAGGGTTAGCTGCACCCAACCTCTGTTTCCTTTGGCTAAAGTAAATGCACGCAAAGGGGAAAAAAGCAGATACTATTGGTGGGGACATGTCCACACTAGTCCTTCACAAAGTTACGCCGGTGTCTTGGTTCCTCTTTAGGTTTGAGTAAACACTGCTCCTCTGCCTTTTAAATGATGTTTAGCAAACAAGCTCCCAAAACACAACCTGGATGTCCTTTTATAAAACACTGACATAGAGCATGTGTTTATTAAACAAACAATGAGACTGAAACCACAGCGCCTGTAGAGACCATACAGAATTCCTTAAGGTCACATTATAGCAGGATCTTGGACATAAAAGCTGAAAGGACGTCTCCAAAGCAGCACCCAGAGTCCATTGAAGAGTTTACATGCTGAACGCTCAGAGAGCAGGCAGAAAACACAACCGGAAACAGATGAAAGAATATAAAAAAAAAACCGAAACACGTGAGGTAAATTATTTATCGGTCTCAGTTGTATATTTTAAAATATTGAGACAAATGAGACACAAACAAATCAGATTATTTACAGATGAAAGAGAAGAAGAACAGAAAATCAAATCCAAACATGAATTATGTTAAAAATATCTGATCATCTGTAGGTAAAAACATCTGTTATTCTTAATGTCTTAGAGAGGAAGAAAAAAAAGATTGGATTAGTTTCCTGACTTTAACAAGAAGCCAACAGGACGAGGCGAGGTTTCCAGAAGCACAGGAGGAAAATTTCCCATAATCTTGGTGAATATGTCACCAATAAATCATTAGAGGAACCCGGACATTTCTACATTGTAGAAGCATTGATGCACGAGGCCTGCAGAAGAAGACCCTGTAAGCTGTGACCAAATAAGGACGTTTTTGCTGCTCCACTTTGGTGGTTGTAGCTCTGGTATTCCTCATTTATATTAAAGTAGTCGAGAACATCCTCAACAGAGCATGATCATTTATTCACTAAGCCAAACTAAACCATCCCTGGGCCCAGCAAATCTGCCAGAAAGGATCCAGCTCAGGGAGTCGAGCGGTTACGGTTTCTGCTTTCTGCTTAGCTGAAGTTAAAATGAGATGCCAGTCTAGAGCGCAGACAGAAGCAGAGAGAGCACTAGAACCTGGCAAGGTGGCAAATCTGAGAAGCTCGATGGGCAGACCGACAGCACTCAGACTGAGTACGTAATTATGCAGGGCAGCTTCAGAGTCTTGATGCACAGAGGAGGAATACGGCTCAGATCACAAACCTGCTGCTGTGAATAGTGAGGCTACAGGCTAACTGTAGAGCAAAGTAAGAGAATAGATTAGATTAGATTCAACTTTATTGTCATTACACAGTTACAGGTACAAGGCTACGAAATGCAGTTTAGGTCTAACCAGAAGTTCAATAGTAGCAAGTGCAGGATAAATAATGGTTCCATAAATATAGGACATGGGTTCCACTGAATAAGTATAGAGATGAATACTATTATAAATAATGAGTATAATATAAAGATCACTAGTGTTATGAACTAAATTTACAGCTGGATATGTACCGCATATAATATACAGGTGGATATTACTATATAAAAAAAAGTTTTTACAATAGCATAATACACAGATGACTAGGGACACTACAACAGAGAGCAGCCAGAGTGTGAAGATCATCAGCACCCGCAACCCAACCTAGCGTGAAACCAGGGCACCCAGCTAGTTCAAAGTAAAAGCTAGTTGCTGCCGCACACTTTCATATCTATTCGTGCAGTTTAACATAACCATAGTATTTTAGAGAGTGTTATTTTGCTCTTTGATCTATTTTGATCTTGTGTTCTTTGTCTAATGGATGTGGAGAACTATTCAATAACATTTACATAGAATAATATAATTATTTACTTGTGGTTTGTGTAAAAGGATTTTTGAGCTAATAGAGTCATGTGTGACATAAACACAGTGACTTAGGTTCATGCCAGCGGACCAAATCTAAGTGTTATAGAGCCTGGTCGGAAATTCAACTGAATAAACTGATTACTTGCCCTCTTCTGCCTCCAACACAAGATAATCAGCTTTGAACCACCTCTCCACGAAAACCAATCAGCATCCAATGTTTATCTTAAAAGGTCTCCAATCCACAACTATGCTCCCCAAAGCGCAGGCAGTGGTTGCTCTATGTCTGACTTTGATTCAGATTACCCCGATTCACCTCCATCCGTTTCTCCACCATCCTAGCTAAAGCTTCATCAGAGTGTCATTCCTCTCGGACTCTTACTGCCTTCCCCGTCACATCTCAATCAGTTTGGCAGAAGACCGCCACGTTGAGCCTGGTTCTGCCAGAGGTTTCTTCCCAAAGT